CGGTCTGGAGGGCGAGGATGCTCCGCGCCCCCCGCACAGCCGCCTCCAGGGACCGTCCGGGGAGCCGGCGGAGAGGCCACCTACCGGCGCCCTCCTCGGGCCGGGACCCTGCCGCCCCCGCTTGGGAGTCTGGTGGAGAAGCCCCGCCTGCGGGAGCAGAGCCGAGAGGAGGGCCGGCAGGTGCCGGGGAAGCGACCGGGTGAGTGTCAGCCGGGGAACGGGTTAACCTCCGCTGCCCGTGTTGAGCTGATGAGAAGCTGCGACAGAGCGGCGGGGCGGCTGAATCCACCGCCCTGTGCCTACGCGTGACGGTGCGAGCACGTCTGCCAGCCGGTATCGATCGACTGCGCGCGTCTGTGATACTATGAGAATTCATCTGGGAAGAAGGGCTCTCAGGGCGGGCGGCGGTGCGTGCCTGGCAAGCTTCTGGAGCTCAGGACGCCGGCAGGTTTCTGGGCCTGGTCCTCGGGGCTTATAAATGCCCCCTCCCCGATGGGAAGAGGAGTGGGGAGGGGAAGGAGCATCTAATTTTCGACTGTCCTTAGATAAAGTGGTTTCTCTGTTCACACCTTCCACTTGTACTACCCGGAGACATGACTTAGTGCCTAACTGCCCTGTTTAGCATGGAGAAGACTGAGTGAGAAATGCTCGTGAACCAGGATTACATCTGCTTCCCCTTATATCAGTGATACTCTGCAAAAGGTGTGCCATGGACCACACTCAATAGGTTTTCATCCAGCACTATGTAAAGTGCCCAGCACTGTTTTAAGCACGAGAAGAGATGTGAAAGTTTGTACTACTAGCTGAACTATGAAATAATTAGAAAACATATGACAGATGTAGGTATAATAAAGTGACAAAATCCATAATAGAGATATAAGTACAATGTGAGAATAGGAAGGGGAAAGGACTACGTGTTCAAGTCTCCTTACAAAACCAAATTGCAGAAACAGACTGAGCGATATGTTTATAAAGTAGACTAGAGCATAACAGATCTAGTCATCAGTAACACGTGTCGTCTTCCTTCTAGTGAATGAAGTGTTTTTACATGGAGAGCATTATTTTTAGGAAGATTTGAAAGTAATTATGTATTTGTTAATCATTGACTATTTTAGGCATTCTACTTGAATAGTCTCTAATCTTTATACACACAACAGAAGGAGGTATTATTATTACTCTCCTTTTTTGATGAGGGGATTGAGCCACAGAGAAGTTAGATAACTGGGAAAACTCACCCAGAGCCCAGATTCAAACCGAGTTCTGGCTGATTCCTAAGCTCAGACTCTTTCCACTACACCAGTGGCTTCAAACTATTTTTTTCTGATCACATCCCACAATAAGAAATATATTTTACAGTATACACACACGTAACCGAAACAAAAGTTTCTCAAAATAATAGTCTTAACTAGGTACAATGCATTCTTGTATTTTCTACTCATTTCTATTTTCTTTTTTTAATGCTGATTATAGCAAACAAATTGATTTCATAACTTACTAACAGATTAGGACCCACAGTTTGAAAAATACCATCATTATGGTGTTTCCCATTAATTAGCATGAAACTATACAAAATTAAGTAAAATAAATAAAGCTGACACTTTATAATCAAAATTTTCTGAATTGCTACTTAAAACATTTGAGTCGTTTAATAGTGTTGGTAAACTTCGCTTTCCAAATTGATAATTTCTGACACATCAGTTTATATATGACTTCTAACTCAACTTCTTTTCGATTCTTTTCTTTTCCTTTCTCCTAGTGACCCAGACGTATGCTGTGGTATGGAAAATCTGATGTAAGAATTTTAGTACTTTAAAATAGCCGTTTTTCAAGAGGGGCTCAGGTGCATAGTACTTTGTAAGAATTGCTGTCAACCGTATGACCCAGCATTCACACTTCTAGGATATACCCCAAAGAATTAAAAACAGAGACAGAAACACATACTTGTACACCAATGTCCATTGTAGCATTATTCATAATAGTCCAAAGATGGAAACAACCTATTCCCCATCAACAGATAAATGTATAAACAAAATGTGGTATATACGAATGACAGAATACTATTCAGCCATAAAAAGGAATGAAATGCTGATCCATACTACAACGTGGACAGATCTTGAAAACATTATGCTAAGGGAAATGAGCCAGACACAAAATGACAAATGTTGTAAGATTTCACTTTTATGAAATATCTAGAATAGGTAAATTCATAGAGATAGAAAGTAGATTATTGGATATCAGGGACAGGGGAAAGGGAACTTATAGCTTAATGGTTACAGAATTTCTTTATGGAGTGATCAGAAAGTTTTGTTAATCAATAGTGGTAACAGGTGGACAATATTGTAAATGCAATTAATGCCACTGAATTGTACACTTAAAAAATTGTTAAAAAGTAGACATTTTTGTTATATATATTTTACCACAATAAAAAAATTTCACACAAAAAAGTGGAAGGCAAAGTCATGGCATATCAGACTGTGAAAAGAATGTGAAGGACCAAGCCGTGTAATTTGGACTTCATTACGTAGGACGGGCACAGAGAACCATTTAAAGTTTTAAGTGAGGGAGTGACATTTGCTTTTGAAATTGCACGAGGGAAAATATCTTTGGCTAAACTTTCTGCCAGAGATAAAAGGGGAAATGCAGATATATGACCCTCCTCCTCCCAGTCCTTCCCCTTTCAATTAACTGAGAAGGTTGGTCTGTTTCTAGAAAAAAAAAAATGATGGAAACTTAAAAAGTCAAAAGAACACTTATAATGTGGGAATACTTAATCAAGTGATTGGCATAGAATGGATATTCAATAAATATTTTTTGAATGAATGGTGCTCAAGTTATTAGATGGATAGCAAGTGTGTCCCATCTATCTGACCATCCTTCCAGCCGTCCTGCCTTCCAGCCACCCTATCCTCCATTTGTACATCTATTCAGTCACTCAAGTGATTGCTGTGGATTCTTTCTGTGATAGTTCGGAAACACAGTGTTCAAGGAGTAGCTACCCTCTGTTATTTTCAGGAAAATGAATTTGTGTAGGAGAGAGCCTGCCCACGTGGAGCTATTTTTACTCCTGACCAAGATTTTACAGAAATTTACCCTAAAATCTCTGGTTGCCCCAGAGGACGTTGACATCAGCCCAGTTGCCAAGGGATTTGCTTCTGTGCCACTCTTCTACTAGCTCCGCTCCATTCCTGTGTGAGGAAGGGCACTCGGGCTGCGGGCTGCTGTGCTGTGCTCTGCACCTCCTCCTCACTCCATCCCCTTCCCAGGAATGCCTTCCCTGACCTCTCCTCTCCTCATCACCCTGTTCCCTCAATACCCAGGGAACAGCCGACCTCCATTAAAAGAGAGTTTCCTGGGTTTCACTGCACAAATGTATCTGCTCTTCTCCATACTCTGTAACACTTGCCCCAGGTAGGCTAATACTTATCTAATATTGAGTTGGTACTATGTTACCACTGTGAAACAGAGCAAATAATGATTAGTATATAACAATACACAACCATTTCTCCTCTGTGTGTTCCAAATAAAAACCATTATTGTAAAAAAAAAAAAAAAGAATTGCTGTCAAATATTTTCTAACATTGTATATCAGGACCTTTTAAAAATATGTATACCCTTTAATTCACCAATTCCTCTTTTAGTAAATCCTCCAAAAGAAGAGCAAAGATTTATGCACAAGGCTGTTTATCACAGCATTATTTGTAATTATAAATAATCTGAAACTACCTTGAGTAAATCACGGTGCAGCTATACTGTGGATGATTATGTAGCCATAAAAATGCAATGACATGGGGGCCAGACCGGTGGCATAGTGGTTAGGTTTGTGCACTCTGCTTCAGCGGCCCGGGGTTCACAGGTTCAGATCCCAGGTGTGGACCTACACACCACTCATCAAGCCATGCTGTGGCAGTGTCCCACATATAAAATAGAGGAAGATTGGCACAGATGTTAGCTCAGCAACAATGTTCCTCAAGCAAAAAGGGGAAGATTGGCAACAGACATTAGTTCAGGGCCAATCTTCCTCAGCAAAAAACAAACAAAAAAAAGCAATGACATGGACAAGTATGTATGCCATAATGTTAACAAGAACAGCAGGATGCAAAATTGTGTGTACAATAAAGAGCTCAATTATGAAAAAACAAAATGAATAAAACACCAGAAGGATATGTGCCAAAGTGTTGTTGGGGTTGCCTCTAGTTAGTAGGAATTTCAGTCTTTTGTATTTTTTTTTTAACTTTTTTGTTAAAATTTTTTGCAATAAGCGTATATCACTGATAATCAGAAAAAAAGATAATGTAAAAGCTGTCTTAAATCCTGTCTGGTGTTAGATGTGATACCCTCCCCTAGGACACTGTTGGAGAAATGACAGTGCAACATCAAAGGGAAATTGCACAGGTAAATAGCGTTCTCCAGAGCCACCTGTTTGAACTCTGGCCCTAGGAAAGGGGTGACAAGCCTCTGTCGTGCCACAGGGCTTCCAGTTGAAGAACACTTTGGGGAAGAGATTAAGGGCTAAAAGATTAAAATGTAGAAAAAGGGCTAAAAGGTAGGGGAGAAAAGGAATTTAGATGGATACTCTCCACTTAGGTATAAATCCAAATAATCCTTCAGGATATGAACGCTTCTTT